ACACAAAAGGGGATCTGTATGCAGACCTCATAAAAGTATGAAAATATGAGCACAACTCTTTCTAATGCCTTGAGGAGAATAAGAGCATACATAATACTACTACTGAAAATCATTACCAATGTCCTTCAACACCTGAGAAGTCTGTTTTCTGATTCCAGACAGAAAGAAACAATTGAGAAAAAAAAAAAAAAAGAAAACACTGAAATCCTGGCTAAAGTAGAGAAAATTGTCCTTTTCAGTTGGTTCATTTGATGGGCAGATTAATATTAAAATATTTTTGTTTATTTGACTGCAAATTAACTTTTTTTTTTTCTCTCTCTCTTTGAACTGGAAGATAAATCTCACACCATGCTTTTATGTTGTAGTTTGAATTGAGTGTTTGGGAACTTGAATCAAACCAGATCAAATAGGTAAATGACTACCTTACTGAAGGATCCGAAATACTATCGCCCTCTTCATCAACAGCTTTTACTTTTGGCCAAGAAGCTAAAGGCTGCACTGGAAGGAGGACTTTTAGGACTTGAGTAGAGTAGCTCCTGGCCATTGTGCTACTGAGCAATCTCAGGATGGTTTCCTGTCAGTCTTTTTGGAATAGTGCCAGCCATTACAAAAAGAGAATGTTAAGATTCACAAAATCAAGTGAACTTCTCACTCAAACAACCTCCTCAGAGGAAGAAATCTAAATCCAATTCACTCTCTGCTGGATCTGAGCCTAGATCCCATAATACTATGGAGGCTCTCCCCACTGCCAATATAGAGTTTCAGTGGCTTATTTAGAGTCCTGAAACAAAGCAGAGCATCACAAAGAGATTACTCTTCTTGAGAACAGACTTCCTAGTAGTAGGAGTACAATTGCAGACAAATTCCAGGGTTTTATTACCTGGGGAACAGCATACTGTGCTACATTAATGTCTTAGCAGAGAATTGTTATTTAAGACATAAGCACTTTTGTATTTTTTTCCCGTTGTTGAAACTATTTTCATATTTTTATAAATTCACTAACAATTCAGAAAGACTGTGATAGAGTATTTTCATGAATAAATGATTTGTTGAAAAAGCTTGGTTTCACTGAGCACTGCTGATTCCCCATGCAAATTTCATTGTGCTAGTGCCTAATTAGGAACAGCTTTTGTTCATGGAAGATGTGATTCCAGTTTCTTCTTTAATTCTCATATATAAAAAATAAAAAATAAACCAACAAAGGAAACAAAAGCTTTGGAAAAGAGATTTCCAGAGACACCCTGTTGACATGACAGCATCAGCCTGGTCCATGCACGTGCATAAGAGGAGGTGTGAATCTTGAGCACAGCAGGGTATACTGCTCTGCAGTTCTATGTGAACAGCAGTCTGGAAAGCACTTCCCCTAGAGAAAAGTAGATGCAACTATGCTGCCAGGAACCAGACAAAATTAGTGCAGCATGCATAAACATGCTTAATCTTAAAAAAAAAAAAAAAAAAAAAAAAGAAAAAAAAAATAAAGAAGAAATAAGACTGAATCAAGCTGGCCAAGAGGCAAGTAGGTTAGTCTGATGCATATCCTACAGAAAGCAAGACAAAAATAGCAAGGAGTATATCCACACTATTGCAACAGTGCAAAGGATGTGAGAAACAACTACATTGGGAAAAAGTTGCAGCAGAGGTTTGTTTGAACCAACTCTGCCAGAGCAAGAATATGACACAGAGACAATAATAATGGTACTAATGGGGAAGGAGGAAAATTAGCTAAGGGGGGGCATGATGCACAAGGGATTATATTGCTCTGGATGCCTGATCTAAAGTATTCAGCAGTACTCCAGAATATCATTATCCATACAGTGTGATGCCTTGTAGACTTGCCCTTTCTGTTTAAAAGAGTAAGCAATTCTGGAAAAAAAAATTATAAGCAATTATGGAGGAGACTTTCAAACAAGAGGAAGATGTTTACTAGCTGACTTGAACAATACCAAAATTTCTGTGCCATGTGTTGCAGAAGTGAGATAAGTGGTTTCATTTATCTGTATTTCAGATACTGAAATACAGTACTGAATACTGCACTGAATACTGTACTGTATTTCAATACAGAAATATAGTTATTAAACTAATTCCAAATAGATGATGAAACTGGCTAGGACATAGTACCAGGAAATATTCTTTCTAGTCTGAAAAAATGACAAGTGTTTGTGGCAAACATTGGAAACCATCTGGGTGCAACAAGGGTGAATGCTAGAAGTTATACTGGATATAGCTTGGAGTTAGTAAACACAGACATCATGAACTTGCTAGTCATCTTCAAAATTTTTACCTCTAATTGTATGTGCTTCTTTGTTTGGACGTCATACAAGATGCTGTGGTCTGATGATTGTTGTGGTGTTTTTCATTAAAAATGCTGAAGAAGAAAGTGGTAGCAAGCTGTTTGAAATAGTGAGAAAGAAAAAGAAAATGCCAGAGAGAAGTACAGAGAAGGAAAACTTGTGCATATGGCTGACTTTTTAACTATGTTGGCAACATCTATAAAAGACTTGTCTTTCTACAGAGCCAGCTGCATTATAAAACCATAAAGGCTTTTGATAGATCTAGCATGCAGCCTTCCATCAGGCTGGCAGATGTGTGAGAAATGTCTGGGTTCTTCTCACTTCCTGAAGTTCTCAGTTCTTTGCTTTGCTTTACAGAACAACCATCTGTACCCTGAGCTTAAGTGACAGCACATCTGTGTTAACTATCATAATTTCAGAATTAAAACATATCTAATATGCATTTCTGGCAAAGCATTAGGTGTCTGTGGATTGGTTAGCTGTTGGCCACAACCATGCTGTCCTTAAGGTGACTTGCTTTGTATTGAACTTCACATAATTCTTGTGTATATCTTTGTTTCTTTAAATAATAACCTGCTCAAAATAATTATCAGAGCACATTGAAAATGAAGGAAAACAAATGTCAGCTTTATGAAGGCAGCTGTGGGTTGAGACTGGAAAGATGAGAGCTCTGCTCCTTTCCCCTTGCAGTGGAAGAGGCTGAGTTATTTCTGAATCAGGAGATATCAGTGAGAAATGAATATTGGATTAGGAATAATCAGTATCAGACTTTCAAGCACAGTATGCATTTCACAGTGCTTGAGAGACCATCATCATAGGGAAAATGACAGTGTTTTGCAGTTTCTTTTATAGTGTTCTGGCATAACAAATGAATTAGATGAAGTGTGGCTGAAAGCCTACATTTAGTTCCCCATTGTTTCTTCTTATTGCACAATTGATTTGTGCCAGCCAGAAGTTTGAGATTGAATTCAATGATGTAAGTAAAAAATCCTGTGATTTAGACCTGCTATTTCAATCTGAGAGGAAATTTCACCCATATCCTCTGAATATATAGAGCACCAAGACTATTCTAAATAGAGTTTTTGCATGCAATAAATCTGCCCAATCCCCAATCAGTGTTGATTTGTCTTCTGAAGATCAGTGTAGTAGCAAAGCTCTTTCTAATTATATATCATTCTGCTGCTTCTGGGAGATGGAATCAAGGCAGAACAAATTAGCCTAAACGAGGATACTTATGGTTTTCTTTTCATTAAACAGTTTCCAGATGCAAAATCAGCTGTATGTATCAAAGGTGTAGGACACAACAGTTGGCAGCAGCAGCTCTTCAGCTCAGTAAATGTTCTTCAACGGAGCTATCATGAACTTTTGTCTTCACTGAAATTAACTGGGATTTGAAAAGGACAGATACTTAGATTCAATCTGCATGTGAAAAGTGATTGTTCCAATTGTTGACCTTTGAAGAACTAATTCATAAGGCTATTCACCCTACAGTCATATGTCACAGATTGGATACTGATATCAGCCCATCTGATTGAAAGCAACCATTAGCAGTGATTTCATTGAAGAGCACATTATATCCCTACCAAGAAAGCTGACTGCCTTGATGTTCTCTTGGCCTTCTATCTATTTACTTCTATTAGTTAATCTTGACATCTCACTGGGAATGGTAAGTCTTTTTTTAATATACACGTAGTGCCTAAAATGTCATAATCCCTGGCTTGAGCATAAGGATACTCTGCAATATCATAAATTAGAACTGTTGACAATACACATACATACCTGTGAATACCTACACTAGACTATTTTCTCTTTGTTGTAAGTAGAAATTCATTTCCAAGTACAAGCAGATGATGATTGTTATGATTTAATTAGTAGTACTGTCCCCAAAATTATTTCTTTTTCAAAAAACGAATTACTAGGTTATTACTAAAGAACATAGGTAAACATGGATACATATTATAGAGACTTTAGATCTGTATTTTTTTCATATAGAATGAACGTAGAGGTACAGAAAATATTTTGCTAAAATTTTCCAGCAATCATATAAAATGAACAGTTTTCACAACAGGATTTCTGAATAAATTAATTCTATTGTGGGCTTCTGTACTGGGTTATATCTGGCTTCTGTACTGGGTCATATATATATATATGCAAGGAATGCAATAAGTCCTGTTTTTCAAACAATATGAGACTGAAGGTTAGAAGATGAAATTCTCAATGCTTTTAAAGATCTGCTTTTAAGGAAATGGTTCATCTCTTCAAAGAAAAAGACTATACAACATATATAGTTTAAACTGATGTTACTGAGGCCAGTCTTAAATTGTTAGAAATGGATTCAACTAATTGCTTCTATCTACAAATACAAGAAAAATAAAATAATATGACTGATGTCTGTTATGCTGGCTATCAGAAATAAGAAAAATTAACAGTGAATAGAGTGAATAGTTGACTCAAATATTTGAGTTTTGTACTGAAATCCCAGTATTATTTTACTAAACGAAACAAAAAGAAACAACCAAACAACAAAAAAAATCACACTCAACCAGATTTTGTATAAAGATGCCTGCTAATATGCTGTTTTTTAGCTACTGAAATCTAAATAACTGGACATGTCTAAAGTCCAGAGTTATGTGTATTTATATGAGTCAGCAGATAGCTAAACACTGCCCAGAGTTTGTTGTATTTACTTCAACTGATCATCAATGAAATAGATCATCATTGCTTTTCTTGGTTTTGTCTCTATAGAAACAAAATATGAACCAAATACTCAATGGCCATGAAGGAAGAAATGGTGTCAAAATTAGAAATGCAATACTGAAGAATGAAACAGCAGAAAATTGGCACTTTGATAGAGCAAGATTTTATCCTGTATGCCTTGTCCAGCTTCAATTTTGAAATCTTACATTGATTGAGTCTATCAAGTAATAAATACTCAGTATGATGCTTTGGATCCTGAGTCTCACATATTTCATGCCTTAAAAATATCATTATCAGTCAGGACGACAATTTATGAGTTATTTGCACATGAAATGGCTGATAACTGTTAGGCAGTTAAAAAAGACAGTGACAGTTCTGATAAACTAGTATTCATGTTACATGTGATTTCTCTAACAAGTATTTAGCTGAGTGCACCTAAATTCTTTATGCTAGTTACTAGGTAACAAATACATGGTAATATAACTTGTCTAAACCAGTGATATAAATAGGATAAACATTGTAGAATTTGACAAGATAGAGTAAATAAGAATTTGCTTTGGAATATTTGGGAAATTACAACTGACAATTTTCTACATATTTGCATTAGGAATTCTTAGGTCAAGTGTTAAGAATGTTTTATGTAGATTCAAAATCTCTTCTAAAAGAAGAACAATCTTTTCAGCTGCAGAAAAGATGCAAGCAAAGAATGAAGTAGAGTCAAAATAAATCTGTTCTTCATTTCTGAGTTAAACAAGTTTCATTCCAGCAAAACTTGTATCTTAGCATTCTCACAGCACAAGAGTGCATTATGCATTATGTTTATATAAAATAGCATCATGTTTATATGACAACAGCCTGAAGTAGCTGGAAACAGATCATGATGTCCAAAGGAATTGGAGGCTGAATTTCATTTCCATCCAAGCGAAGATAACGAAGGCGGGGGATGTTACCATAAAGACCATAGTCTTCTGCTACAGCAATTGAGACTGGGCATATCTGAGTACCATTGACACCTGAAAATGTAGATCACACATGTTAGTGAATTTCCAGGGGGAGGGTTCTTGAAAACTAAAATGTCCTTAGAAAAAGAATACAACCTTGCACCAATGTTTTTGTGGGAGTCACTTTCTCTTGTTGAAATAACACCAAATTAACAAATCTACATTTGTTAATGTAGAAATGTACATTGAGATAATGTAATTTAGAGCAGTGAATCACATATTTAACTATATGCTATACGCTATAATTGTGAACAAAGTGTGCTAGACGTATAATCTCATCTTGGACAGAGACAAAACCAACTAGCTTAGACAATTGCACCAGTAAGTATATTTTGAGACATAACTCTGACTTCACAGAGTCAGAGTCAGGAGGCAGAACAAAGCTAATGCTGAGGAATTTTGAAGATCTTTCTTCAGAGATATGCAATAATATGCACATATCTTCTGATTACAGCCTCCAAATTCATTTGAAGTTATGACAGAACAACCACAACAAGAACAACAAAAAAAACATGATTCTTGGTTTTTTTTCAAAGAGAAAAGTAGTATTTCTAATACTGCCCAGATGTGGGCAATGTCTTGAAAGACTTTGTCATGGAGACTGGATATATACATCTAGCTAGTCTATCAGAAATATTCTAAGAAAATCTCTTTGCATATGTTGTGAAATTTGATTAATGCATTAAATATTCTTGTAAGACATTTGATAGCATTGGAAGAAACAAAGTACAATTTATTTTCTTGTGTGAAGATATGAAACAGGAAGTTTAAGAATAAGGTTATGGAAGCATTTATGGAAGCAATTATGGAAGCAATTATAAAAAGTTTTGCAAATGAATCAATACTGTATAGCAGGCAATATTTGTCTTTTCAGGTCACAATGCACTTCAAAGAGCCAAAGAGCACTGCTGTCCTTAGAAGACAAGATGGCTTCAAATGAATTCTAAAATTCTGTGTTCTCTGATCTAGGAAATATCACAGTGGAATCGTGTTCACTAGGCTAATTATTCCAGGCTTAATATGAGAAAACCATCTATAAATTGATTTCTTAATGATATGTGGTATAAAGTGGTTTTGTTATCATATAAATAGTAAATCCTACCCAAATTATCAGAGGAGTAAAAGCCTTTATCTCTTTCAATCCTGGGTTCATAGGTCTGTTGTTGAATTTTGCCAGCAAAAGGAGGGACAGGGCAATCAAGTTACATTAGTATTGTTTCCTCAAAGGAACTGATTCATAGTGTCAGTCTAAGCAAACCATTTAGTTCCATTTACAAACTCTGGAAAGAACTGGACGCATAGAAAAGTTGATTAGTGTCTCCTAAAGATAGGATGAATTTCCCTCTGGAATTGTGGAGGACTAAATGACTAATTTAAAGTACATACTAAAATCTTGGATGGTTATTTTAAATAAGACAAATTCATCTGTGGTCAGTATTATTGACAAGTAGCATAATATTTACACTGAGACTCTGGAGCTGCTATTGGAGAAAACTGAAGAGTTCCTCATTACTGGCTAATACTCTACATCTGCTGAAGAGCTACAAAAGATCCTGCTTCTTTTTCCAGTATAAATTTATAACATCTTAATGTTTAGAAAGTGAGTTTATATAGAAGATGGGTGTATTAGGACATATAGGAGTGGGAGTGTGTGGCTGTTCTGCTATTACAGCATCTAGCAGCACCTACTATGCTCAAATAGTTGGACTCCCTTTCCTCTTTTTGTATTAATTAACAGCAGCTATCTGTATTTTTCTGGGCTCTTTCACCAAGAAAGCCAGTAACAGTGATATCTCAGGAGTCTGACAATTAGACAGGATCTAGAACATAGACCATTTTCTTCCAAATATCCTAAAATGAATTTTGAGACATTGGCATTGCTACTTGGCCCAAGGAGTTCTCCCATTTTCTTTGCATGGAACAGTATTATCTCAAAGGAGCTAGCTCAGCCTTCTTACATTCCCCCAGGGAAACTTAATATTTGCTCCCTTTTATCACTCCTTTGATAACATTGTAATGCCATCTGCTTACCATTGTTCATTCTCTACGTTGTCATTTCATGCGTTCACCTCTTTTCTCTTCCTCTAACACTCTCTATCCCATGATTTGACATCTCACAGACTTGCATTTGTACCTCATAAATAAATATGCAAGTAGTTATAATTTAATGATGAAACAGGAGTGATGCTTATCTGCTGTAGCCATGATTGGTTTTTGTTTTATGTTGATTTCGCTTCCAAATGTTGTGTGCTATTGTATTCTGTAGTGCAGTGGGATTCTTGGTGAAGGGACACAACAAAATCTTGGTTTCATCAAGACCAGATTACCACTGGTTTCACTGGGCTTCAGTGCAATAAAAAGTGGACAAACAATATTAGCAAACAAATTTTTGTGTCTGAACTCTTGCGGTGCCAACAGTGTAACTATGAACAACCAGAGGAAAGAAAATAGCTACTAGCAACTATGCAGGACGATCTGAGAGTTAATGTTGTAGAAGAGGTCACACTAAGCATGCATAAGTAAATTTTCAGATGGATTTTTTATGGAAAAATCAGGTCCAAGCTTTCACAATTACTTTTCTTTCAAGTTCTTTATATTTGTTACATTGAAATAATGACAGACCATTGTCTTCTTGTGCTTAAGAACAATCTGCAGACCAATGACACAACTTAATTATCCTGCCTGACGGAATTAAATTCCTTGCATGCAGTAAAATACCCATCAAAGCATTGTGCAATGGTGCCTATGTTCATTATAGTACCTCTTGAACAATTACACTCCTGTGGTAATACAACTTAGATAATACCAGTATTTCATTTAATATATTAGTTTTTTAATATATGTGTTTGACTACTTTTTACATGGCCGCTAAGAATAAAACTTCATTGGAAAAAAATTATTGAGAGAAAAATTTCAAAGAGCTTAAGTAATGGATGTTCAATTTGAAAAGTGGTAAAGACATTTAGAAATATAAATCTTGTGGAAAATCATTGTGACTTAGACTCATGGATATTCATGTGTCATTGGAAAATGAGACTTCAGTTTACGGATACTAGATAGGTTACTTTTTATGGTTTAAACTTACTTTAAAACTTAAGAAAGGAAAATAATCTGGCAGCTGCACAAATGCTTCTTTGCTACCTAAACACGAAACACATCTTAACTGGGCAAGTTACATTCCAATGATTTCAGTTCACTGTCCACTTAAAGTGACAGGAGATAAAGTCTACACCTAAGGCCCTGAAGTGAGGCAATTAAAATAAATCCCTTTATAACCAGAGGGCACAGAAATATGTTCTAGCAGCATATGCCATTAGCATTAACTCTAATTAACTGTTAGGCTTCTTGCAGACCGCTTAAAAAGGTTCCAGTTGCACAAAATTCTTCTGTATTTATCCATTTTCATGCATTTGATTTCCAAAATCCAGAATTAATTAAATGATTAGAAGCTATCCTCCTTTGATATGTCTTTCTTTCATCTTTCATACAGAAGCCAAATTGTTACCTTTAGTAACACGACATAGAAAACAATTTGTTCAATTAAATCATGACAAGAAGACAAATGTGGAGACCTGGCAGTGATAATTAGAAAGCGACCACTTTGATTTTGTCCTCTGGCATGAAACAGCTTACGGTACTGGCTAGCAAAAGGCAGCTGCAGATTAGTAATCAGAAATATTTATGATATGCAGGACTTGTATGCAGATACTCTACCTGGTATACCTTACCAGAACATTCCTGGTGTACCTAGATGCTGGAAACGTTGTTAGAAGCAGAGTTAGGATTTGAGAAGCTTCTACTGCCTTAGGAATAAAACCTTGTTTCATTTATATGATGATGTTTGAAGAGGTAAACCTTAGTGGGACAAAGCTTCTGTAAAGTCAGTTAAAAGACTGTTCATCAAGGAAGACTAAAATCTGGAAGTCAGCATTTTATTCACACACACACACACACACACACACAAAGGAAATATGGGGAGGATATTCAGAACTGAAACATTCAATAGCCACACTTTAGTTATATTCAAAATAGACTGTGTTGACTACAGCCTACACTTTATTCTGTTTTAAGAGTCCCTATAGATAATTCAGGTGGACAAAGAGATTCTCAAACCAGCTGAAAATATAGCGATTCTGTTACTCTAATGTTCTCACAAAACTTGGAAATATGACAGTTATGCAGATGTGCATTGAACATCCCAAACTATTACCCTCATTTTTTTATTGTTGTTTCTTGCTCGTTTACTCTCATCATATTTGCGTGAAAACTTAATTTTCTCTCACAAAATGGTCACTGGTGTGTATATATCAAAATTCAAATGGAAAAAAATCCTTAAACCTCCTACTTCTGATCTGCTTACAAGGAATTTTTCTTCTGTATCCCAGTGAACATTTTTCAAAAGTTGGTATTACTCAAATACACATATTTGTTTGTCATAGTTAGAACAGAATTGAAAATTGGCCTCTGGGAGGTCCTTTTGCTTATTTCCCTATAACCCATTGCACATTTTTAATCTCTGCTTTCAACAAGTACTTTCTGAAGTTAAGCAGCCATTTTAAAAGAATTACTTCTTGGTGATATCGCTGATGATACACACTTACTTTTGATTCTGTTGTGATCAAGGTGAAGGTGCTCGAGATGAGCATTGATTGGTGGAATTTTAGTGAGCTGGTTATGAGACAGCTGTAGGTCTAGAATAGATGAAACATTAAACCCATTTGGGGGAATGCCATCATCAGATAATTTATTGTAGTTCAGCCTAAGGAAAGTCACTTTGGGTATTGCACTGAAGTAGTTTTCTGGGATAACTTCAATGGAGTTGTTGTCTAAAAACAGCTGCAGTGTGTTAGCTGGAATGCTTAAAGGCATCTTTTTGAGGGAATTTTTCGCTATGTTGAGTTGCATAAGACTGTTGAGTCCTTGGAAGGTGTCACTTTGAAGAGCGCTGTCCAACAAATTATTTTGGTGCAGATCTAACATAGTGAGATTTTCCAAATTGCTGAAGACTCCTTCTGGGATTCTGGAGATTTTGTTTCTAGCCAGCCTTAGCTGTTCCAAGCCCACAGGTAATGGAGCTGGCACCTCTTCCAACTCATTGTCTTCAAGGAATAAGTACAAAAGCCTTTTCAGCTTGCTGAGCACACCACTCTCAATTCCACTGTTGGTAATTTTATTCTTGTTCAGATTTATCCATCTCAAATGAGTGGCGTTAACAAAAGGCTTCTCTGAAATTGTTTCAATCAGGTTGTTTTGAAGATAGAGGTACCAAATTCTTGCTGGGATTGCAGGTATTTCTTTAAGTCCCTTGTTATCACAGTATAATGCATTGGGGAAGCTAGGAGGACAAAAACACTCTTGTGGGCACTCAAAAGTGTAGTGAGACCAATGCTCAGGATCCAGTTCACTATAAACTTGTCTCACAGTTCGAGTCCACACAGAATGGACTATGAATAATAGCAAAAGACTTGGACAGACTTTTAGAGTCATCATTTGCCTTAGAAGGGGAAAAAAACAATTAGTTGTCTCAAGAGAACTCTCTAGCAGCATACCAAATTACATTGCAAATAATATTTCCTTTATAAACAGCCAAATTTTGTCACCTATGGCATTTCCTAAATAGTAATATGAAGTATAGACAGTTCAGCATTATATGTTGAATATTTTCCTGATTTAACTTAGTTTTCACAATGGCTACAAATTTAACTGATGTTCATGCAGGGATCATTTCAAAGATGTGAAAGAATGGAGCGTGTCTCTGACATTAAATCAGTCCTTCTTATAAATGTATTTATTTTAGAATCTCCTGCACAGAGCTTTCTGTGTAAGCTAGTTTATGTAACTTATCATCTTCAATAATGCTATCAATACTGTGATGATATTAATACCTTTGTAGTCTGTGTTACTCCCTTTTAAATTAATCATATGATCTTTTCTGGTTTACCTCTCTTCTAAATTATAATGGCATCTGGATTAGATTTTCCAGATCTTTTTTCATCACTTAAAAGTGAAAGATCAAAGAATGTTTTAACAGCTGTTTGTTGGGCATGTTCTTAAAAAGCTTGGAGGGAATATGTTTGAGTATTCCATTTCCCTTCCTCCCTTTCTTTTTCAAATTCAAAGTTATGAACTTTCTTCTCTAAAGCAAAGAAGCAAAACAAATGCCTGATCTAAATTACAAAAAAAAAGGCAAGTGCTAACTGAATTATCTTGTGTACACTCTTGCATTTTGTAACTTTTTCACCTACTTAATTACTTGCTTTGCTAATCCTTTTCACCATTAAACAATGAACAAGATCATCAATGATCATTTGCTCCAACAGGACATATTTATGTAGCACAAAAACAGTGCTTCACAAACTCTATTATCTAGTTTGCTTTTTGAAATGCAGGAGCAAGAGAGGGCTGAGATTTCTGGTCAAAATATAGAGATTGGTTCTGGAAGAAAAAGAATGTTTAAGTAAAGAGAGAATTATTTCGTATGTCTAGTGCAACATTAAGATTAACAGCTCAGCTAATTGCAGCATATCATATGCAGCCAGTTAATAGTTTTCAATTTTGTTATTATCAGTAACAAGTGCAATATTCTACAGATCTTCTAGTCTCAGAATCTGCTATTTGGAATTATTCCAAAACAGGGCAAATAAAATATTTCTAAAGCATAACATATTTAATTTACATAGTGAAATGGTACCTTCTCACTCTGTAAATATTCATAATAATATGATATCATAATAAAAATAATATTTTTAAAATAAATATAAAGTAGTTTACCTTGTAAGTCAAGTTTCTGAAGCTGTCTGCAGCCAGTTAGAAATCACTGTTACAGCCTTTGGCTGCTAACCACTGTGTTTGCTTCCTGTCCTAAGAATTAATAGCATATAAAACTTGAATTATGTGCTAACATTCCCAGATGTATTACCATACACACCTTATTAGCTATTGTTCCTAATTTGAGGTTGCTTCAGATTTTGGGCTTACCTCAGCTTTCTTGGATCTCCCCTTTCTATTGGTCACTGCTGTTAGGCTGTAATAGCTTGAGTCAGGCTACAAGCCGTGTTCTATGAATACAGCCTAATATATACGCATCAGTGACTACAGCTTTTAACCCCTAAAATAGCTAAGGCACCACAGCACCTAGACAAGAAAAGGCAGGAAATCCTGACTTTAACATCAAGCAGCCGCAGAGCTTAAGGCATTTGATTCTTACATTTTAGCAGATGAGATGATCTGGTCTAGATGAAACAGGTAACACAAAGTGTTCCTTTATTCAATACTTCTGTCAAATTATACTTTACACACAAAGCTTGCTTACATCATAATTCATTCTCATAATACCTGAACTGGCCACAAAGCATTAAAAACAGTGCCATCTGTTCCTACGGAAATCTTTTATTTGATTTTGATTAAATGCAGATGCTGCCTTGCCATTTAAAGATGTAATTCTTGATTAGGGGAAGAAAATAGCAAAAGCATTTGCTAAGAATTTTTTAATAACATATATTTTCATTTTTTTAAGGATTAAAACATGCCTTTTTTTTTTTCTTCTGAGACATTTTTGAATATATTTCTACTGAGATATCATATTCCACAGTGCCTCCTGCAGTGAGGTCTGTTTTTAATTATGTAAGCACCAATTAATTATCTTGTTTTATCACTGATCTAAAGTAAACTCTTTCCAGCCAAATCACTTTCTAAAGCATAGATGCATATTTCTCACATTAAATACTTTGGGGAGATTTTTGTTTTCTTTTCTGGTACAAAAAGTAACAGATAAATATCAGAAAAACTAGCCAGGCTCAAAGCCAGAGCATAAGTATTTTAAAAGAAAAGTTAATGAAAATGCTACAAATGTAAAATACATCCTCAAAGCTTTTATGAGTTTATGTTCGTCATAAAACATATAATAGACTTAATTCAGTTCAATCTAATTTTTTTTAGTAACAAAATCTCCAATAACTTATTTCGTAATACTTCATACTTTGATTCCCAAATTCAGAATGTCAAAAAAGAGGTTTTAGAAATATCTAGTAACCTAATCTTCATTTTAATCCTCATTCTTTTATTTTGCAAAAATGACATAAATAAATAAATAAAAGGAAATCAACCCTTAAGTACATTTTCAGCTTCCACTGATTTCAGTAAGGCTAATGTTAACATGCCTGTAACATTCTAAACTTTTGTTGACAAGTACGTATTTGTACTAGCTTGCTTTTGTTTAGGGAAAAAAATACATCCTTATTACCCACTATTTTGATGTAGCCTAAGTACGGGCTTAAAAATGAAACAAGTGCTTAAGTGTTTCACTCCATTAGAACTCCAGACTCTTCACCATCTCTTACATTTACACCTATGCCTAAAAATAAAAGTTCTAGCTTTAAGCAGATATACTACTTATAAGCAAAAAATTAAATGTGCCATACTAACCTTCTCATTATGACTGCCATTTTAAAGAACTAGGCCTTAGAATGTTTCCTCCTGCAGCAGTCGTCGTGCTACATGCTAGTGACCAGAGAGCTGGTCAGCTGAACTCCATGGAAGGGAGATGGGTAGAGGTGAAAAGCACCACATTATGAATGTTAAAATAGTTGTGAGTTCAGTTACAATTGATTTAAGGAGGCTGGACGATGAAAAGTATATCTGTGATTCTTGTCAAAGCCAGCCAGCACCGCGTAAATCTGGTTTGCATTTGTGTTAAATCTTCATGAAGTGAATATAGAATGGATACAGAGTTTTTGAGATTTGTTCACCATTAAGGAATGAGTCAAGACCTTCACAAACATTGAAATGAAAAGTTTAAAACAGTGAGTAATGGGGGCAGATATCTGTTGTGACACTCCACTGCAAGCTGCCAGATGTTGCACATTTAACAAGAAAGATTCATTATTCTTATGCTTCAGGAGGGTCTGAATTTTTCCTTTAACCTGCTGATCATGTACAGATGTTTATGATGCTATCACAGAAGTCCTAGGCAGAGGGACTTGTAGCTTACCTTGACAGACAGTGGAGCTGTTTGGGTAAACTGCTATTTGGCAAAGGAGAAACATGTCATGATGTGACCTCTGAGGATTTGGAGACCAGGTATTTCAATGTGCTGTTCAAGCGAGTACAGAGGAGGACCTGTACTCGCTTGAAGTTGATCAGAGGGCTGGAGCACCTCCCCTACAGGGAGAGGCTGAGAGAGCTGGGGCTCTTCTGCCTGGAGAAGAGAATGCGCCAGGGGGATGTTATAGCAGCCTTCCGATACCTGAAGGGGGCCTTCAGAAAAGCTGGGGGGTGGGGGGGGTTGGGGGGACTTTTTATAAGGGCATGTAGTCATAGGACAAGGGGAAATGGTTTTAAACTGAAAGAGAGCAGATTTAGACTGGATATTAGGAAGAAAATCTTTACTGTCACGGTGGTGAGACACTGGAACAGGTTGCCCAGTGAGGCTCAGAATGCCCCCTCCCTGTGAGCATTCAAGGCCAGGCTGGATGGGGCCTTGAGCATCCTGGTCTAGAGGGAGGTGTCCCTGCCTATAGCAGGGGGGTTGGAACTAGATGATCATAAGGGTCCCTTCCAATCCAAACCATTCTGTGATTCACCAGGAGAAAAAAAAACAGCAAGTTTATTTTCAAGAATTTTTTAACAAGATTTTTTATTTTTTTATTTTTTTATTTTTTTTTTAATACAAACAGCAGAAAAAAAAAATGGAGAGAAAAGTCCTCAAAATTAGGAGAGAAAGCCTATGTTGACTGTAATATGCATTCTCACATGCATTTAAACATTTTGGAAAGAGTGCTTTGGGAACACATGATTGGGTGCCCAAACAGATATCACAGAAAGGCCTACCTTCCAAGAAACCATCAAGACTGCCCACAAATTCTCCTTCATACATTTGTTTTGCATGATTCTCCATCATCTGGAGTTGCTATTAATTATTTAAAGGGTGCAATATATGGTGATAAATTTTTACAGGCTAATAAAAGATCATGGCCAAGATTTTAAAAAATGACTAATGGTTTGGGAGATTTTACATTTTGAGGATCCAACCTGAGACACTTTCCAAGGCCTTACTTTCAACAAGAGTCATTCTTAAGCTGTGAAGCTGGGCAGTCAAAAAATCAGTGAAGCACAAAATGTCCCTGAGATGATAAACAATCTTCAAGATCATGTTTGCATGATAATAAAAGGAAATGCAAATATAATTACAACAAAAATCCCATGAATAGTCATTCTGTGGATTCTGTAGGTCTTTTAAAAATAAATTGTTGAGATTATTACAGTTTAAGGAGTATGTCTGAAATAATTATAAGATTTTTGTTCCGTATTTATCCTGGCAATTCACATTGTTAATGACTGTCAGAAAAAAAAGAAAAAAAAAAGGGTGAGGAGCACCAGTAACTGCAAAGAGTAGTAACATCTTCTTGAGCAGAGTAGTGGATATGTTTGGGAATAGGAACAACTCATGTGCTTGACAAAGACTAGAAGGGCTAAAAAACAGAGACTATCAAGACTTACAGGCAGGAGATAAGGATAACTGAGACTTCTGTAAGAGCAGTTGCTCTGCTTCAGTACTGACACTGCTGACAGGGAAGAAATGCATTGCTTTCTTTAAATAATGGCTGCCATATGTCTCAGATTTAGTATGAAGCAAGGTCTGTTAAACATCAGGCATGTGTGTAGATCATTACCAGCAAAGCCAAGAATATACTGCAAGTATATCTAATTCACCCTGTGGATTTCTTCATTTAACAAAGACTGTCATCCAGTATGCCTAATTTCATTACTGCTTTACTAAAATGTTGTATGCCATGCCCCAAAGGACAATCAGTTTACCTGTAAAATGTTTTAAAATTCCCTTCAGGATGACTACAGAGATGGAGATGCTTCAAAATTCTGAAGAAAAAAAGTCCACACTCAATTCAGTCAGTTTTCACTATGTACTCAGCAGCTCCATACTGTCATGCAGCCTGCTTAAACCACATGTTTACATTTATTTGGGTTCCCCTGTCTCTTTCATTTCTGAAGATTGGCATGTATTGTTGATATGTTTCTGTTGCTTGAAATAGTGTCTTAGTTTCAGCTGGGATCCAATTGTTTTCTTCAGAGTGTCTACTATAATGCTATGTTTGGTTCTAGGAGAAAAACAATGATGGTGACAGAGCGATGTGTTGCCGCTAAGCAGTATAGTACAGAGCCAAAGCCATTCTCAGCTAAGGGCCCAAGGAGCTGGGGGGAACAGAATCAGGACAGCTGATTTAAACTGGCCAAAGGGATATTCCATACCATATAATATCATGAAGAAGGAATTTTGAAGGAGATGGGAGTCAATCTTTATCTCTTCTGCTCACCAGGGGGCTAATTGGGCATCAGTCAGTGGGTGGTGAGCAATTTCTTTTGCTTTACTTACTATATATATTATTATAACTATTATTCTCTTCCTTTTTGCTATCTTTGTAAATAGTTTTATCTCAACCTACAAGTTCTGTTATGAGGGAACTCCCTTGTGAAACCTCCAGTGAGAACCGAATAGCTCAGCTTAAAGACATCCTTGCAGAGCAGCAAATTTCAGAACCAAGTAACTATGGAAAAGAATTCAATTTCTATGGAAAGAACAGATCTCTTCCAAACATGCTTCATTAAGGAATGATTTGGATGTCTGTTTTCTTTCTGTTTTGAACTCTTCACCATGATGACACAACAGGGTTCCACAAAAAGATGCCAAGATCTGGTTTTTACCTTGGTTAGCTAGGTTTAGTTTACCTGTCATGTAAATGTAGCTGTTCATCTCTTACCTTAATTTGTTTTCAAGTTTTCAACAATTTCAACACTGAAACAAATATATTCTATGTTAATATCAGAGACTTGATTTTTAAATTGTTAGATATGCAACCCTATATGCTAAATGTATCTTGAATTAAATAT